GCAACCTTGAAATAAATGCATACAACAACAACATTAGTAAAAAAATATATATTTTTTTTACTTCATATATATGACAAAGAACATTTGAAAAACATATTACAACAACAGTTGTAGAAAGTCAAGTGCAGAGGAGTGGGTACATAAGCACCCAATAACTGGAGCAATAAATACAGAAAAAAAGAACACAGTGAGCAGCAAGGAGAAATTAATTCAAAATGCAGTCGGCATTCTCGTTATCGATGAATGATATTCTCAAAGATGCTCAGAGAATAAACATATTTAGAGGTGATGAAACCTTTGCTCTTACTTCTTTTTTAAGAGAAGTTGATACCTTTTTTATGCTAGTGGAGCACTGTCCTGAGGCTAAAGCTTATATTTACCAAAGAATTATATTAAACAAACTGCAAGGAGAGGCACTTCATGTCGTCCGAACACTTGGGCCAAATCCAACTTGGGAGCAAACTAAAGAAGCTTTGATAAATAATTTTGGTATAAAAGAGACATACCATCAACTTTACCAGGAAGCTTTTGCTGCTACAAATCACGGTATTGTAAATTATTATAAAAAATTAATAGCTATACTATGTAAAATTAACGAAAAATTCGAATACGATATGGAGAAACCTTTAGAATTTAGTCCAGCATATGTTGAAAAAATTATTTTGAAAACTTTTTTAAATAATATAGATGTAAATCTAGCATCTGTTGTTATTAATAGAAATATTGATAAATTAAGAGAAGCGTATAATTTGTTAGAAAAAGAAGGTTTAATAAGAGAGAAAACCCATGTTAATAATAATAATTATAAAGGCAACCATCGTATAAAATCGAATCAACCGAATCAGAACAATAATGTACAAAATTCGAGTGGGGATAATTTAATTAATAATAGAAGTACAGAAATGCCTACGACAAGTTTCCAAGCTAGAAGATATAATAACAACTCTCGAAGATCATACCAGTCGCGAAATAGCAATCAAACTAATGATGGTTTGGAAATGCAGGTTGACTATATGCAGGAAAATGAAGTTGAGGAACAGGTAAATTTTCTCACAACAGCCTTTGTAAGGCACTTCCATTAGTTAGTCTCTCTATTGGTAATGATCAAATTTTGGCTCTAATTGATACGGGATCGACAACTTCCTTATTGGATCAGAATAAGTTACTGGGTTATAAGAGGAATTTACTGCATAATCCTCTAACATTTTCTTCCTTAAATGGAATAACTAATGTACAATTCGAAATAATTACAAAGATTCCTAACGAATTCGGTGAAGATGCCACAATGTCGTGGAAACTTACAGAATTTAAGGGAAAACAATTTGATGCGATTTTGGGGCAGAATATTTTAAGACCTTTAGGTGCTAAAATAGATATGGATAGTGAAACGTTAACCATTAATGAAAATGTTATAGAATTTTTTAAAACATGTCCGTACACCGATAAGGAAATATATCAATTAGAGGATGTGAAAATTGACGGGAAAATTTTAGTAAACTTGTACAAAGATTTGAATATTAGGGAAAAAGAAGACTTAGAATACATTTTACACACCTACCAGGATCTATTTTTTTTAGAAGGACAAACATTGGGCAATACAAATATTATACAACATAAGATTATAACTATAAATGATAGACCGACTTACACCAAGATGTATCGTTATCCACATGTTCATGAAGATGAAATTTGCAGGCAAATCAACGATATGTTGAGACAGGGTATTATTTGCCATAGTAATTCTCCTTATAATAGTCCATTGTGGATAGTACCGAAAAAAGTAGATTGTTCGGGGGAGAAAAAATGGAGAATTGTAATAGACTACAGGAAATTAAATGATATGACTGTTGACGACAAGTTTCCCATTCCGAATATAGACAGCATTTTGGATAAGCTTGGACGTGCCCAGTATTTTTCTACTATTGATTTGGCTAAGGGTTTCCACCAGATTTTGGTAAGGGAGGAAGATCGTCCCAAAACGGCATTTTCTACCCCATATGGCCACTATGAATTTGTTCGGATGCCTTTTGGCTTGAAAAATGCTCCGGCCACATTTCAAAGGCTTATAAACCACGTTCTTCGGGAATTGATAAACAAAATATGTGTCGTATATTTGGATGATATCCTTATATTTTCCACTAGCTATGAAGAACACCTTTCTAATATAAATAAAGTTTTTGAAAAACTGAGAGAAGCGAACCTAAAGATTCAGATAAATAAGTGTAATTTTTTTGCTAGGGAAACTCTTTATTTAGGGCATATTTTAACCACGGAAGGGGTTAGACCAAACCCTGAGAAGATTGAGACAATTCTAAAATTAAAATTGCCCAATTCAATTAAGGCTATAAAATCATTTTTAAGTATGACAGGATATTATCGTAAATTTATCAAGGATTACTCCAAAGTAGCTTATCCAATGATAAAATACCTGAAGAAAGGTGAGAAACTGAATATGAATGACCCCAACTTTATAAACGCTTTTGAGAAACTTAAATGCATCATAACTCAGAATCCGGTACTTAAGTACCCAGATTTCAAAGGGAAATTTCAACTGATAACAGATGCTAGCCTTAATTCACTTGGTGCTGTTTTACAACAAAATGGACACCCAATATGTTTTGCGAGTAGGACCCTTAATGATCATGAGAAAAATTATTCCACTACGGAAAAAGAGCTTCTTGCCATAGTATGGGCCACCAATTACTTTCGTCCTTATCTGTATGGTGTAAAATTTGACATATTGTCGGATCATCAACCATTAAGATGGTTATTTGTTAAATCTCAAAGCAGGGAATTGAATCCAAGACTTTATAGATGGATGATAAAGCTTAGTGAGTTCAATTTGACTGTAAACTATATTAAGGGCAAAGATAATCAGGTCGCAGATTTTTTAAGCAGGATAAATAACGATTCTGGTGAGATAAACGTTTTGGAAAATTCTGGTGATTCTATGTATAACAATGATGATAGTGACGAAATGGATACTGTCCATTCGCAAGCAGAAGATACTCACAATCATATTGGCATTTTGGATACGGTCGTTAATAGATTTAAAACCCAGATAATTCTAACTAATGACAAGACAAGGGAGTTTCATATGGTACATGGGAACAAGAAAATTTATATAAATTCATATGATTTGAATAATAATTTGGAGGATATTCTTAGAGGACATATAGTTAAGGGGAAAATAGGAATATTTACAGAATTAGACGATCATGAATATAACATACTTCAAATGAAGATTATTGAATTATATGAGGGAAACAAAAGTGTTAAATTCGTTAGATGCTCCCATAACGCCATGGATATGTCTTCTGAGGATGAGACTTACTTACAAATTCATCAGTATCATAAGAATGAGACAGGACATACAGGAATTAATGAAAATTATGAAGGATTAAAGAGAAGAATATATTTTCCAAATTTGAAGATGTTGGTCCAGAAATATATAAATAATTGTGATATATGCAATAGAGCTAAGTTTGATCGTAACCCAGTAAAACCAAAATTCCAATTGTCAGAAACCCCAAAGGATATTAGGAAGATAATACATATGGATATTTATACTAATTCAAAATCGAATTTCATAACATTTATTGACAAATTTTCGAAATTTGCAACAGTTTATTATCTTGAAGACAGGACTAATCAAACTATTATAGAGAAAATTAGACTATTTAAATCACAGAAGGGACATTTTGAAAAATTAGTTACAGACAATGAATTTAAAAGTGTAAATATTAAGGACTATTTAAGAAATGAGAATATAGAATTGCATCTTGTTAAACCCAACAACCACACTGGTAATGCTGATATTGAAAGACTCCATAATACTCTTAGTGAAAAGATTAGAACTTTGACAATTGAACAAAAATCATTAAGTATTAAAGATAAGGTTAGCAAATCCATAGAATATTACAATAACAGCTTCCATTCTGTCATTAGGGAAAAACCAATGAATGTTGAGTGTGGTAATTGTGATAAGACTAGAATATATAATAATATTCTATCTAGCAAACAAAATTATATATATAAAATGAATAAGAATAGGGAAAATTATGTTGATGAAAGGGAGAAAGGTTATATAAAAAATTATCAGGCTTTAAGGCATAAGGAACAGCCAAAATTTCGAATTTGTGATTTGGAAAATGTACATAGTTCTAACATCAAACGAAAAACAAAATATGATGGTGCCTTAAATGTAGATCGATATAATAATTAGCATTAAGGAAAACTGAATAAACAAATCAAACTGAAATTATAATTTTAATGTAAATATATATAAATATAATGAAATATATATAATTTAATTTAGTTTCTAATTCATATAAATGTACAATTAATGTATTTAAACTGTAATAATACTTTGAAGAACTTTTTGTAATGGACAATATTAAAAAATAATTAAAATTCGGATTTAAAATTAAAAATGCATTTATATGTTTATGTATATTCTAATGAATTTTAACATAAAAATATATTTAAACATTTAAAAATATTATTGTTAAATTAATATGAATTTCATGTACATACATATATTTTATTACAAAAAATTGTTAAATAATATTTGTTATAATTAAGTAAGTACTCTGGGGTGTACTTAAATTAATGGGGGGATAGTTACGATATAACTACTGAAATACTCATTTCTAGTTTAAGCTTTCTCTCTTGAGAACTATTTATATAATAATAAACTTAATAACCATTAGCTTTAAGTTTTTAGCTTAAGTTGAGTTCTTGTACAACCTTTGACAAATAAAGATCAATAAATAATTTACCTTAATTATCAATCTTGTAACTCGCGCTCCAGTATAATTAATATTAATTCATTCAGAAATAGTTAAAAACACACTAAAATGATAAGCATATTTAGTTTAAGTAATTAAGCACTTAAAAAGATGCAATATGTTAATTAAGTTTTTTTTTTTTTTTTTTTTTTTTTTGTTTCAAATGTTTGAAGAATTTTAGTATAAATAACAATATGAAAAACATAAAACGATATCACATTTTGTTTAGCTGGCAAACAATAAACATCTTATCAAAATGGTAAGTTGATATTTGGATATTCTTTAACACCAATTGAAAAAAATTGGTCTCGGATTTTTTAAAAATAATTAAACGTTTTTTCGTGTTTCTTTATAGAAATTCGTCATTGTTGCTTTGGCTTTGGTAGCCTGTGTTATGGCTGATGTTTCGGAGTTGGGTTATGATTATCATGCTCCTGCCCCTGCACCAGCACCAGAATACCACCCTGCCCCAGCTCCCCAAAACACTTACATTCCCCCTGCTGCCCCAGCTCCCGCTCCTGAATACCACCCAGCTCCTGCCCCTGCTCCAGTACCAGAATACCACCCAGCTCCTGCTCCTCAAAACACCTACATTCCCCCTGCTGCCCCCGCTCCAGCTCCTGAATATCACCCTGCCCCAGCCCCTGCTCCAGTTCCCGAATACCACCCTGCCCCAGCTCCCCAAAACACTTACATTCCCCCTGCTGCCCCCGCTCCAGCTCCTGAATACCACCCTGCCCCAGCTCCTGCTCCAGTTGCTCCCCAAAACACTTACATTCCTCCCTCTGCTCCATCTGCTGAACTCGCTGATGATGGTTACCGTTACAAGACCGTCCGTCGTGTCGTCTACCGTCACCGTTTCTAAACTGTTGTTTAAAACAGATCTGTTAAATTTTATTTGTTATTAATTTTTTAAATTAATGATAAAAATCAAAAAAACAAAATAAAATATAATTACCTAGTATTTAATACAAAAACACGAAATTTAATTTGGTTTTATTTAAATTTAGTGAAATTTTCATAATTTAGTTTTAAATAATATCGTTAATAATATATCGCCACAACACAACTAAATCTCGAACATATTTCAAAGCAAAAAGTACTACAGATCCCCAATTTCTTAATGTTGTTATTCTTCATCATAATTTTCATTATTAAAATATTGATTTACATAAATTTTACGCTAATTTTTATAATTTAAAGCTATTTTATTTTATATATTTATTAAAACAAAACAAATTATTTAAAAAAAAGTGTCTGCTAATTTTTTATTATATCTTGATAACAAACACCCTCATCTACCAAATTTAATGTTGCTTTTTAAAAACATACTTATTTTAATTTATGCAAACAAATGGAACTAGTTTTTTAATTAAATCTTTTGTATGACCTTGGAGAGAGTAAGAATTATTATATTCTTGCTAATTATTATAGTTTTTAATGACTGTACAAAAAATATCTTTAAATAGTTGTTAATACTTTGAAATTTCTTTTGGACCCGTATATAGTAGAATGAGGAATAATATTTTGAGTATAATTTGGTAACTTAAAACCGACTCATTGTATTCGAATAAAATTTGTCGAGTATGGTAACTATGATCATATGCCCGGTGAAGTAGTGTAGGCCAGAGTCTCTAGTGGCAATTGAACCAACGACCCTCATATTGATCGACTAACACACTACCAACTAGCCTCCGGGAACACTCTGAAATTTAATATTCTATTATGGAATTCTGTAATAAATAAATTATTTGAAATTGAATGCCTCTTCCTCAGGAAATCACATTAAATATCAAACATTAATTAAATCCGTATATCATCAAATACACATTTATATATTCTGGGTACTTATTACATTCTTAGACGATCGAACCATATCCGTCCGTCTGTTCATAAATATGTTAATTAAACAGCAATTTTCATAACATTTTGTGGATTTATGTATTTAGGAAATATGTATAGCGTTAAGTATGATGAAAATTAGCCCATAGAACCCCATATAAGATCCATTGGAAAATAACTTTTACGTTCATAACTGGCTTAAAAATATCATCAAACAAGCTGTATAAGAACATCTCTATACTAAATATCATAGAATAAGTTTAATAAGTTTAATCCTCTATGAAATTTCATGTGGATCGGGGAATAATATACTCCTCCATATTTCAGTTCTAGTTCAGGTTTAGTTCAGTTCTAGTTTAGTTCTAGTTCAGGTTTAGTTCAGTTCTAGTTTAGTTCTAGTTCAGTTCTAGTTTAGTTCTAGTTCAGTTCTAGTTCAGTTCTAGTTCAGTTCTAGTTCAGTTCTAGTTCAGTTCTAGTTCAGTTCTAGTTCAGTTCTAGTTCAGTTCTAGTTCAGTTCTAGTTCAGTTCTAGTTCAATTCTAGTTTAGTTCTAGTTTAGTTCTAATTCAGTTCTAGTTCAGTTCTAGTTGAGTTCTAGTTCAGTTCTAATTCAATTCTAGTTCAGTTCTAGTTTAGTTCTAGTTCAGTTCTAGTTCAGTTTTAGTTCAGTTTTAGTTCTAGTTTAGTTCTAGTTCAGTTTGAGTTCAGTTTGAGTTCAGTTCTAGTTCAGTTCTAGTTTAGTTCTAGTTCAGTTCTAGTTCAATTCTAGTTCAGTTCTAGTTCAGTTCTAGTTCAGTTCTAGTTCAGTTCTAGTTCAGTTCTAGTTCAGTTCTAGTTCAGTTCTAGTTCAGTTCTAGTTCAGTTCTAGTTCAGTTCTAGTTCAGTTCTAGTTCAGTTCTAGTTCAGTTCTAGTTCAGTTCTAGTTCAGTTCTAGTTCAGTTCTAGTTCAGTTCTAGTTCACTTCTAGTTCAGTTCTAGTTCAGTTCTAGTTCAGTTCTAGTTCAGTTCTAGTTCAGTTCTAGTTCATTTCTAGTTCATTTCTAGTTCAGTTCTAGTTCAGTTCTAGTTTCAGTTCTAGTTCAGTTCTAATTCAGTTCTAGTTCAGTTCTAGTTCAGTTCTAGTTCAGTTCTAGTTCAGTTCTAGTTCAGTTCTAGTTCAGTTCTAGTTCAGTTCTAGTTCAGTTCTAGTTCAGTTCTAGTTCAGTTCTAGTTCAGTCTAGTTCAGTTCTAGTTCAGTTCTAGTTCAGTTCTAGTTCAGTTCTAATTCAATTCTAGTTCAGTTCTAGTTTAGTTCTAGTTCAGTTTTAGTTCTAGTTTAGTTCTAGTTCAGTTTGAGTTCAGTTTGAGTTCAGTTTGAGTTCAGTTCTAGTTTAGTTCTAGTTCAGTTCTAGTTCAATTCTAGTTCAATTCTAGTTCAGTTCTAGTTCAGTTCTAGTTCAGTTCTAGTTCAGTTCTAGTTCAGTTCTAGTTCAGTTCTAGTTCACTTCTAGTTCACTTCTGGTTCACTTCTAGTTCAGTTCTAGTTCAGTTCTAGTTCAGTTCTAGTTCAGTTCTAGTTCAGTTCTAGTTCAGTTCTAGTTCAGTTCTAGTTCAGTTCTAGTTCAGTTCTAGTTCAGTTCTAGTTCAGTTCTAGTTCAGTTCTAGTTCAGTTCTAGTTCAGTTCTAATTCAGTTCTAGTTCAGTTCTAGTTCAGTTCTAGTTCAGTTCTAGTTCAGTTCTAGTTCAGTTCAGTTCTAGTTCAGTTCTAGTTCTAGTTCAGTTCTAGTTCAGTTCTAGTTCAGTTCTAGTTTAGTTCTAGTTCAGTTCTAGTTCAGTTCTAGTTCAGTTCTAGTTCAGTTCAGTTCTAGTTCAGTTCTAGTTCAGTTCTAGTTCAGTTCTAGTTCAGTTCTAGTTCAGTTCTAGTTCAGTTCTAGTTCAGTTCTAGTTCAGTTCTAGTTCAGTTCTAGTTCAGTTCTAGTTCAGTTCTAGTTCAGTTCTAGTTCAGTTCTAGTTCAGTTCTAGTTCAGTTCTAGTTCAGTTCTAGTTCAGTTCTAGTTCAGTTCTAGTTCAGTTCTAGTTCAGTTCTAGTTCAGTTCTAGTTCAGTTCTAGTTCAGTTATAGTTCAGTTATAGTTCAGTTCTAGTTCAGTTCTAGTTCAGTTCTAGTTCAGTTCTAGTTCAGTTCTAGTTCAGTTCTAGTTCAGTTCTAGTTCAGTTCTAGTTCAGTTCTAGTTCAGTTCTAGTTCAGTTCTTGTCCAGTTCTCCCTTTTAATAATACAAGTATATCGATGAAATTTGACTCAAACAAGTAGTTCCAAATTTGCTATTATGGACCGATCATGAAATTTAAATTTTTTCAAAAAGAGTTTGTTGCTGCAAGTACTAATCTTACTGTCTGTAAAGTGCATGACTAAATAGAAGTTTTTAAAAAACAATTTTTTCCTAGTTCAAAATTATTTATGAGCAAACTTTATGTATTTTTTTAAGCATAAAAATTGTGCATTTTTTTGCATAATGTTAATTTAAACTCTAAAATTGTGCGCAAAATTTTAGTATAAAAAACAATTCGAAAAACACTAAACGTTATCACATTTTGTTAAACAATCTAACAATCAACAACTAATTAAAATGGTAAGTTTTGTTTTTGACAAATTTCAGCATATTCACAAAATACACCAACAGATATAAAAGTTGGTCATGAATATTGTTAATGTTAACAATATAAATTAATTGTTTCGTTTCCCTTTATAGAAATTCATCGTAGTTGCTTTGGCTTTGGTAGCCTGTGTTATGGGTGATGTTTCGGAGTTGGGTTATGATTATCATGCACCCGCCCCTGTTGAACATCATCATGAACATGTTATGAGTTTTGTTCCTGAAGTGCCACATAACACTTATATTCCTCCAGCTGTTCATGCTCCAGCCCCCGCTCCTGAATATCATCCAGCTCCTGCCCCTGTACCAGAATACCACCCAGCCCCAGCTCCCCAAAACACTTACATTCCCCCCGCTGCCCCAGCTCCTGTACCAGAATACCATCCTGCCCCAGCCCCTGCTCCAGTTCCAGAATACCATTCTGGTCCTGTAGCTCCCCACAACGATTATCTTCCCCCCTCTGGTCCAGTTGGTGCCTCAGCTGATTTCGGCAATGATGGCTACCGTTACAAGTCCGTACGTCGTGTTGTCTATCGTCGTCGTTTCTAATTTGTTATTTAAAACAAAACTGTTAAAATTAATTTGTTATAAAAATCAAAAAAAAAAACCAAATGAAATAAAAAAACTTAGTATTTAATTAAAACATTATGCATGTTTCGCTTCAATTTATTTAGAAATTTTCAAAACCAAATGAATTATAAAAAAAAACTCAAGAATATTTAAATTTTTGGCGATATTCGTTATGGATCGAATTTCTTAGTAATCACGCCATTATATTCAATTATTTCACAGATGTGACCGTAGCTTTATATGAATTTTTATATAAATATTTTTGTATTTCCCCTTTAACTTAATGTTGTTGTTTATTTTCGAAAAAAAAAAAACATATTTTAAATTCTTTAGATTTACATAAATTTGTAAGACAATATTTTATTGAAAGCTTAAATCGTGTCATAAATATGTTTATTTTTAAATTTCATATGTCTTAAAACAAAACAAATTATTAAATTTTATTAATAATTTATTTATGCAAACAAATAGAACAAGTTTTTTTCTGGAATTTTTAAATCTTGTTAGTTTTTAAAGTTTTCTATAAATAATTTGAAATTAAATTTTTTTAAAAAAAAGGTATGATTTCAAAAGTGACTTCCGGTTGTCTGTCCAGATGGACAGATTTATGAAGACATTTTCATAGGTTACATTAATTAATTCATTTACAGATATTCTTATTCCTAGTCTCGCGAAGCTTAAATAGCTTGTCTGCAATTAGCTACGTCTAGGTTCTGACGTAATCGTTTAATAATCGGTTGATTTCCCAGTTTTAGGCTGGGTTTTACAGTTTACACTTAAGTTTTGAATTGTGTATGAAATTTTCAAACTTAAGTAAAATTCAAATCCTTTACCGGCCCTTAGGTTAGGTTAGGGTCTCCATGTAAACCAGCTTTTAATAAAACCGATCATGTTTATCAGTGACTCATCTCTGAGACAGTCTAGATCATGGAAAAGAGCTCTACCCAGAAAGAGTAGTCTGTGCTCTTGTAAGGCTCCACTTCCTCTTCGTCTAAGCAGCTTCTACAGTAGCTATAATTTGGGTAGCCCATACGTTCTGACATATGTCCAATCATACAGTGCCCAGTAATTATACCAGTTAGAAGCCAAATCGAGATCTTATTAAGAGATAAGAGAGTCCTAGTCCTATCTGTTGTCAGAGTGGGCCAGAGTCTCGATATTCTACAAGTGGTGATATTTGACCACCTGAGTTCCGTCTCACTCAGAGCCCATTCATCTATCAGTTTTGATAGGGTCGTCAGGGGAGCGTGAATATCCTTTTGCACAAGGGTTAAGTCCAGGGACGACCCTTTGGTTTCGCATTCATCAGATATTTCATTTCCCCGGACGCCCTCCTATCCTGGAACCCATATCAACTCAACGTGATGTTGTGTCAGTTGTGCCAACGATTGAATGCAATTGAGAAGACATTCCGACTTAATGACATTGGAGTTAAGAGCCTTGATTGATGCAAGGCTGTCCAAGTATATATGTATAGTCGAATTTTCGAGATTTAGTTCCCGGATTCTTCTCGCGGCAGTATAGATGGCCCTTACTTTCTCAAGAAATCACTTTATAGTGAAATTTGAATGAGTCCAAAAAACTATATATTTTAAGAAAAGGAGTTCGGGAAATCAATTATCACTAAAATAGCTAAACAATTATTATTTGTATGAATATGAAAACCATTTACTTTACAACGATGTATTAACAATCTTGTACGTACCCGTTCTTTTGTTCTGAGTTATTTCCTAAAGCCGGTCAGGTTAGTGGTAGTTCACTGTGTGCGAACAGTCAAGTAGAGTCAAAGAGACTCCGTTTTATCCGGACCTGTCCACAGATGTAATATTGTGTGGTATTAGATCCAGCCTGTAGCCGTAAAAAAACTCAAGATATCATTAAGATATCACAGAGCAGATGGAAGCAGTTGTTTAACTTTCAACAGTTAAGTGTCTAATGTTCACTAACGTAATGTATTACTTTCGATAACTGTTCCAAGTTATGCATTGTTTGCATTAACTGCATTCTCAAACTGAGGTTATATTTTGTCTAGGGGAGATCATAAAATACTTAGACTATATTCTGGTGGAGACCATTAAAACTCTAACTTTAAACCATTTAAAACACAACTTCCTATATAAAGATTTAGGTCGACTACAGAATTTTCTTCTAACTAACCAACAAATCTCGATAGAGATGAGATAATTCGATCTTGATACTTGGTTTAGCGAATCCTGTAATTCGGAGTTGAATTACAACTCAGAACGTTTATTACAAAGAATTGTGTCGTGCGAACATAGTTAAAACACTTTTCAGGGTTAAATTTTATTACATTTAACTTTAATCGCTTAAATTTTGGAGTCGAATTACTGTACCTATATATGATTGAGTAAAAGAATGATTGTAATTTAGCTCCTTTAGATTAAAGTATTCGCTATTAATGGAGGAATTTAGAATATTTTAGCTTAATTACGATACGGAACCATATTCGAGAGGTATGCGGTTTTCGATTTGAAAGCTTATACGAGTATATACACGGTACGTAGGCCCTTGGTTTAAAACTTTTCTAACAGTTTAAATAAAATTTGATAACAATTCGATAATAATTTTTTATATTTTCTCTTCTTTTAAAATTATTATTTATAAATTAATAACAAAATAAAAATTTAACAATTCTGTTTAAAACAACAGTTTAGAAACGACGACGGTAGACAACACGACGTACAGACTTGTAGCGGTAGCCATCATTACCGAAATCAGCTGAAGCTTCAACTGGACCAGAAGGGGGAAGGTAATCGTTGTGGGGAGCTACAGGAGCAGGATTGTATTCTGGGACTGGAGCTGGGGCAGGATGGTATTCTGGCGCTGCAGGGGGAATGTAAGTATTTTGGGGAACTGGGGCTGGGTGATATTCAGGAGCAGGGGCAGGATGGAATTCTGGTACAGGGACTGGAGCAGCAGGGGGAATGTAAGTGTTATGTGGTACTTCAGGAACAAAACTCATAACATGTTCATGATGTTCCTGATTATGATGATGGTGATGTTCTACGGGAGCGGGAGCATGATAATCATAACCCAACTCAGAGACATCAGCCATAACACAGGCTACCAAAGCCAAAGCAACAACGATGAATTTCTATAGAGAAAAATAAGAAATAATTAATTAGATGATTGCAGATTTTATCGCCAAAATTTAGACCATAATAGTATTTCTTTGAATTGTGAGAATGCTTGAAACAAAACTTACCATTTTTGATTAGTTGTTTGAACGGTTTGATCGTTAAACAAAATGTGATAAAGTTTTGTGATTTTCATATTGTTTTTTATATTAAAATTCGACGAATATTTAAAAAAGTTTTAATTAATAATATGCAATAAATGCATGATAATTATGTTTTAAAATATAGTTTGTTTAAAAAATTTTAATATTTTTGAATTATATATAAAGTGTTAATTTCTCTAAACTTTGTCAACGATATATTAAAGAAGGAGCTCATAAATAATGAGCTTATCAATAATGAGTTAGAAATAGAACCACTTCTTTAGAGATTCTTAGAGGCAGAAGAGTAATTAAATGATCTATTATAAGCTGGAGAACAAAAGTACAAATGAACTAGAACCGCTTCTTAAGTGCTTATGCAATGCATTATGAGTAATTAAGTGATATCTTATAAGCGAAAGAATAATAGTCCAAAAACACTTAAAAGAGTTTGATAATGAAGAGAGAATCCTGCCAAATTCTCACATGTTTACATTACCCCATTCAAAATGCAGTTAAAGCAGTGAAATCATTGCCTTGGTATTCGATCATTGATCGACATAACACACCATTATCTCTTATCAAAGTTGTAATATTTTGTATGGAAAGTTCCCACTTTTGATTTTATCTTTTGAAACTATAATTTGTCTTAATTCACTTCGAAGTGTTAAATTTTAAATTTAAATTTAAAGTTAAATTTTTCTACTTAAGAACTTCAAAAGAATCAGATGTTCATACTAAGTTTCATTTGATATTATGCTAATGCTGAAGGTAGTGCATATCAAAATATTATCGAAATTTCATGCTTAAACTATTTTTAAAATCTATTTTAGAATTCAAAAATATTAAAATTATTTTGCAAAGTATTTTTTTAAAACATAAAAATTATGCATTTATTGCATTATGTTAATTTAAATTCCAAAAATTATGCGCAGAATTTTAGTATAAAAAACAATATGAAAACCACAAAACGATATCACATTTAGTTTAACGATCAAACCGTTCAAACAACTAATCAAAATGGTAAGTTTTGCATTAAACACTCACAATTCAAACAAATCTTGATTTTGGCGATAAAATATTCAAAAATCTAATCAAATACTTCTCCGTTTTTCTTTATAGAAATTCATTGTTGTTGCTTTGGCTTTGGTAGCCTGTGTTGTGGCTGATGTTTCGGAGTTGGGTTATGATTATCATGCTCCCGCTCCTGTTGAACATCACCAACATCATCATGAACACCATGAACATGTTATGAGTTTTGTTCCTGAAGTACCACATAACACTTACATTCCACCAGCTGCTCATGCCCCAGCCCCTGCTCCTGAATATCACCCAGCTCCTGCCCCTGCTCCCGTCCCAGAATACCATCCCGCTCCTGCTCCCCAAAACACTTACATTCCCCCTGCTGCCCCAGCTCCAGTACCAGAATACCATCCTGCCCCAGCTCCTGCTCCAGTTCCAGAATACCATCCTGCTCCTGTAGCTCCCCACAACGATTACCTTCCCCCTTCTGGTCCAGTTGAATCCTCAGCTGATTTCGGTAATGATGGCTACCGTTACAAGTCTGTACGTCGTGTTGTCTACCGTCGTCGTTTCTAAACTGTTGTTTAAAGCAGAATTGTTAAATTTTACTTTGTTGTTAATTTTTAATTAATTATAAAAACCAAAAAAAAAGCGAAATAAAATATAAGTAATTAATATTTAATTACAAAATTTAAATAACGGTTTTTTTATAATAACGGTCTATCGTTTGAAAACTTAAGTCTTAAAGTAGTAAAATAATTAATTACAACTATGACCTTGCCCAAAAAGGTTTGTATTATGAAACTCATCTCTTAATTAACATTTTTTGTTAATTCTGTTAAGATTTTTAATGTTTTACTTCTAACAAGTTTTTTTTTTCAACAAAAATTTTAAAATATAAAATTAATTAAAGCGTAACTCCTTTTGATGGCAAATATAACTTCATTAGAAATTCAGTTGTAAAATGCTCTACTTCTAAATGTTATCATTTTTAGCATAAAATATTATTTTTTTGTTTTAATTTTTCTAGATTTACATATTTTTAACGCCATTACTTTCAAATTAATTTCTTTTTTTTTTTTTTAAAAAAAGAAAACAAATAAACAAAAAATTGTTGTCGAAGTTTGTCTACTTTTTATGGGTTCATAACACCCTCAGCTAAAGAATTAATGGGGGTTTTTTTTAAATATATTTTGTTTAAAATATTAAATAGTTTGAAATTTATATTCAAACATATAAAACTAGTTTTTTGGTGGAATCTTTTGTGTGCCCTTCAACTTTTTGTTATTGCTATAATAGTTTTGTCTAGTAGTTTGCAACCTCTTGAGAATATATGTAATTTCTAGAATCGCGATTCGCGATCTTGATGATAAACGATTCTAGTATTCTCATCAGAAGATAAACTGAACTAATTATAGAAGGAACTAAATTCCGATCTTATATCGAGACTTCTATAGTAAATACTAGCCTATAGTCAAGACTATAAGCTAATCTATGGTCAAGACTATAAACTATTATCTAGTCAAAACTTAAGACTGATCTTTAGTAAAGACTATGGACTGATTAATAGTCAAGACTATAGACTGATCTGTAGCCAAGACTATAGACTGATCTGTATCCAAGACTATAGACTGATTTGTAGTCAAAAATATAGACTGGTCTATAGTAAAGACCATAAATTGATCTAAAGTCAAGACTATAGAATAATCAACAGTAAAGATTTTAGACTTAAATACGATCAAGACTATAGACTCATATAAATATAGTCAAGATTATAGACTAATCAATAGTCAAGACTGTAAGCTGATCTATAGTTAAGAACTGTAGACCATTATATAGTTCAAGATCAATAGTCAAGAATATAGACTAATCTATAGTCAAGATTATAAACTGTGCTATAGTCAAGAATATAGACTGATCTATAGTTAAGACTATAGACTAACAATAGTCAAGACTGTTAGCTGATCTATAGCCAAGTACTGTAGACCACTATATAGTTAGTACTGTAGACTGTTCTGTAGTCAAGTATACTATTCTGTGGATTATTATCTAGTACAAACAAGACTTTAGACTGATCTATAGTCAAGAACATAGACCGATCTATAGATGAGACTATAGAATGATCTATAGATAAGACAATAGACTGATCTATAGTCAAACCTATAGACTGCTCTATTGTCAAGACTATAGACTGTCAAGACTATAGAGTGTTCTATAGTCAAGACTAAAAACTGTTCTATAGTCAAGACTATAGACTGTTCTATAGTCAAGACTATAGACTGTTCTCTAATCAAGACTATAGACTGTTCTGTAGTCAAGGCTAAAGACTCTTCTATAGTTATGACTATAGACTATTCTACAGTAAAGACTATAGACTATTTTATAGTCAAGACTATAGACTGATCTATAGTCAAGACTATAGAATATTTTATAGTCAAAGCTATAAACTGTTCTATAGCCAAGACTATAGACTGTTCTATAGCCAAGACTATAGACTGTTCTATAGTCAAGACTATAAACTGTTCTATAGTCAAGACTATAAACTGTTCTATAGTCAAGACTATAGACTATTCTATAGTCAAGACTATAGACTATTCTATAGTCAAGACTATAGACTATTCTATAGTCAAGACTATAGACTATTCTATAGTCAAGACTATAGACTATTCTATAGTCAAGACTATAGACTATTCTATAGTCAAGACTATAGACTATTCTATAGTCAAGACTATAAACTATTCTATAGTGAATACTATAGAATATTCTACAGTCAAGAATATTGATTATTCTATTGTCAATACTATAAACTATTCTATAGAATAGTCTATAGTGTTCACTATAGAATAGTCTATAGTGTTCACTATAGAATAGTCTATAGTCTTGACTGACCTATAGTCAAGATTATATACTGATCTATAGTCAAGACTGTAGTCCGATCTATATTCAAGCTATAGATTTGTCTATAGTCCAGAATATAGACCAATCTATTGTCAAAACTAGATTTTAACCCAAAATCAAGACTGAGACTATTGATTCCCAGTAAAAACTTTCATTACCATGTAAGGGGTTAAGCGCTTAAATTTACTTACACAATAGCATTTTAAGTCATTATTTTAACACGTTGATGTCATTGGAGGCAAGTACTTACCACAAACGATTACAAGTAATTAGAAAAAGTAGTTATTGTAAATCGCATGAAAAGACGTATACAGCCTCCATATACTGACAAGATGACTAATGAATTAGAATGTATTTATATAACACATTATTAGTAAGACCTTATTAGACTACTTCTATGTAATCCAGACGATATGTAGTAGTCATTGAAAGGTATGTTGTTAGGTAAGTAATTACAATTGAAAGCCATTACCTAGTTTTTGCTGGGTTGATCTTTAGTCAAGACTAACTGATATTTATGATCATGTTCATATAAAGATCTTAGCTAGAAAACTTAAATAAAAACTCCGCAAGGGAACGGTGGTAATCCCTAAAGTGAACAAGAAATACGCTCACTAGATTTTCAAAGTAGAAGAGTATTCAAAATTCGCCTCAATCTGAAATCATAAAAATCTTAAATCTTCAGCAATTCTAGTAGCATCTTTTACATAACCTGTTAAAAATACAAAACTATTGATAAAACTATTAATTAGTGGCATAAATTATGCAAAAAGTTCTGAAATTTAATTAAATACCTTAATAGGTATAGTTTGGGAAAAAAAACTCGATTTTTAACAATATTATGGAAATGGTGTATGCATTATGTAGGCATAACTTTTTAAAAACAATTCTAAAATATTAAAATCAGAAAACTAAACGCATTAACTAAATTAATGATTACAGATAATTAATGATAGATAAAATATACAAATTAAAATTAAACAGAATAACATAAACTATGTTTAAAAAACTAAAAAAAACAACAAGAAGATTATGTAAAAACTTTATTGTTTTTTGTTATTTAGTTGCTTCGTTTATTTATTGTATTTTATTTTGATGTTATAATGTTTCCATATATTGAATAAAACCGGATAATCATAAACATATGTTTTTGAGAAGACGTCTTTAAAGATCTTCAAAGTATTAAAGAGAGTATGTGAGAAATGAAGAGTGGTTACTGTTAAAGAACTTCCATTAATTTATGCCAAAAATTTAAATCTTAAAGACTGGCACAATTTTGGTATAAATAACAATATTGAAAACTCAAATCGATATCATATTTTGTTGAACAATCAAACAATCAACAACTTAGCAAAATGGTAAGACTTTTTTGAATTCTTTGGAATACTTTACAATTTTGATCATCCCTAAATCCCTAAATGTAAATTAACAAATTCTTCATATTTTCTTTAATAGAAATTCGTCGTTCTTGGTTTGGCTTTGGTAGCCTGTGTTATGGCTGATGTCTCTGAATTGGGTTATGACTATCATGCCCCTGCTCCCGTAGAACACCACCATCATGAACATCATGAGGTTGTTGCTTCCGTCCCTGAAGCTCCCAAGAACACTTACATCCCACCTGCCGTTCATGCTCCAGCTCCCGCTCCAGTTCACCATGCTCCCGCCCCTGTACACCACGCTCCTGCCCCTGTACACCATGCCCCCGCTCCCGTTCACCACGCTCCTGCCCCAGCTCCAGTTGCTCCCCAAAACACTTACATTCCCCCAGCTGTACATGCTCCAGCTCCCGTTCACCACGCCCCCGCCCCAGTTCACCACGCTCCTGCTCCTGTTCACCACGCTCCCGCTCCAGTTCACCATGCCCCAGCTCCCGTCCACCACGCCCCAGCTCCCGTCCACCACGCTCCTGCCCCAGCTCCAGTAGCTCCCCAAAACACCTACATTCCTCCCGCTGTACATGCCCCTGCTCCTGCTCCAGCTCCAGTTCAACACCATGAACCCGCCCCAGCTCCAGTTCATGTACCAGCCCCCGCCCCAGTTGCTCCCCAAAATACTTACATTCCCCCCGCTGCCCCAGCTCCAGTTGAACCCTCTGCTGAACTCGCTGAAGATGGTTACCGTTACAAGACTGCCCGTCGTGTCGTCTACCGTCAACGTTTCTAAACTGACCATTTGAGAAGATGTATTACAAAAGACTTGTTATGAATTTCAAAAAAACTATTATAGTATTTAAATAATAATAAACAAAAAAAAAAACTTTTTAAAACGAATATTTTTATGTTTTATTTAAATCATTTGCATAACAGCGGTCATACCTCATTCTACACATATATATTTTATGGAAAAATTGGATCAAAATCTGCAAGTTTTCAATATTGAAGAAATTAACAACTTTTCATACTGTAAGAATTTTACTCAATTGAATCAAAAAAACTAGTCTAGTAAATGGACTAGTGTAAAGCATAGTCTATATTCTAGTATATCGAGCCCTTTTCGCACAAAAGACGTAACCGACAAAAACTAAATTTTACAGGAGAGCATTTTTTTAATTATCTTCGAAGTAGGACATAGCATTACTCCAAAACTTCGTTAATAAATATTATTACATCTAAAATATAGGATGCAGTTTGTTTCGATTTTATATTTACGCTATATCCGATTTTTTTGTCGCTTACGTCTTTTTTGCCGAGACAAATTTTTATAATATAAACAAAGTTAAGGCGGTTACGTCTAAATTCTCTGTCTAAAAAATTAATTTTTTGTGTATATCTTTATATAATTTGTATATATCTGAAATTTAATAGTGTAATAAATATTTTTTATAATATTTTAAGATCATCTAGCGATATCCGTATGTCACTCTGTGGTGAAATTCTCCAATTGGTGTTAAAAATGGGCAATATTTGTTCATGCTCCCCGGAGCACTTGTATGGGGGCTATAAAACGGTTATATACACTGGTGGCCAAAACTAAAGCAACTGACATTACACTTTGATGTTTTAGAAAATATATTCTGCTAAAAAGGTTAAAACGGGATGTTTTTTGGTTTTTATATTTAGACTTTATTCATATTAAACGTAAATGCAAAAAAAAATTAAAATCACGGCAGCACATCTACGGGGCATTGAATCAATTAGCCTCTCAATTTGATCTTTAGAAATGCTGTTCCATGCGTTCTGGATACGATTAAAAATGGTGTGTTTATTTGTCCCTGAATCTCTTTTTATTTTACGGTCAACGATGCTCCAAAGGTTTTCAATGGGGTTAAGGTCTGGCGATTGAGCTGGCCACCCGAGAATATTTACCTTTGATTGACTCAACCATTCCTTGACAAATTTCGAATCATGTTTTGGGTCATTGTCATGTTGGAAAACCCAAATCAGTGGCATGTTTTCTTCTGCATATGGCAGCATTGCGTTTTCCAACAAATTTTTATAAACAAATCGATCCATTTTCTCAGTAATTTGTTAAATTGGCCCAACTCCATCGTATGAAAAACAGCCCCACATCATTATTGAGCCTCCACCATGTTTAACCGTTCCTTTACAATATTGCGGTTTAAGACGTTCATTTTTTGATCTCCTTACGGTAAAGTTCTTCATGTCTGAGCCTTTTATGTTGAATTTGGATTCATCTGAGAACAATATGTTTCTCCACTGAGCAGGACTCCAACCAATATGGGCCTTTGCAAAAGCTAACCTGGCTCTGCGATTTTTTTGAGAAATAAATGGCTTCTTTGATAGTTTCCGAGCTCTTAAACCTGCTTCTACAGATCTACTTCTTACAGTTCTTGAGCTCACTTCCAAAGATAATTCTCTCACTAACTCAGTTGATGTGACAAAACGCTTCTTTTTTATTTCACGGATTATTTTTTTATCTGTACGATGTGCAGTTTTCCTCGGTCTACCTCCAGAATGTACTGTCACTACTGATCCGGTTGATCGAAATCGACATATTATTCGAGAAATCACTGATTTACATATTGAAAACTTTTCGGAAATTTCTTTTTGGGACAAACCATTTTGAAAGTCACTTATAATTTGCTCTTTAAGAAAAGTAGAGTACTTGTTCCTAGCCATTTTCCATAATTTATAATAAAATTACTCTAAATCGAAAATTTTTCAAGTGGTGTTGTAAATAAACTTTAAAAAAATGTTTTTTGAAATGTAAAATAAGACCATAAAACAAAACATGAAAAATATAACGGTAAAAACAATAATTGTTTTTGTAAACATTATAATAAAGTTATAATAAAGTTGCTTTAGTTTTGACCATATAAAATATGCTTTAATTTGAGAAAAGTGAAAAAAATTCCACGAAGTTAATTGAAGATCAATATTTTTTTTTTTTTGGAATATGTAGATTGTTATAAATCACACTATGAAGAAAAAAATACTGATTTACCCAAAAAATCAAATGTTTTATTGCAATAACTGATTGATTGATTTCGGTTGCTTTAGTTTTGGCCACCAGTGTATAACTGTAAATTATGTTGGGAAGTAAGACAATGATTTTATGACCATAGCTGTCTTAAAAATATCAGTATAGCAACGAAATTTGATGTATGATGATGTTTTAGGATGGGTTCCTATGCTCCTCATACAGAAAATACGTTTACAGTTAATAAATCTTTCAAAAATTAAGAAAGCAAGATGAAATTCTACAAAAAACTTTTTTTTTTCAAAACTAATTACGCGATTAAATTCTATAGACCTCGGTCCACAATTGACAAAATCCCTCATTAAAGGCCGTATTCTGAAAATCACCCTGATGTCCACATTAATATCCATACATGGTAGTACAATTCGCCTTATATCGAATAAATAAGTAAATTCTGGGACTATTGATTCATTAAGAGTCCATATACAGGTCCGCCATCCGAAATCCACAAATTTACAACCAAATATAAGAGTTGGTTAAATGGTAATAACCCAATAAACCAAAGAACGATATGATAGCGAAAACGGTATTGCTTTTAAAGGGCGATTATGATATCATATTTCATTATTTAAAACGATATTATTATAATATCGTTTTATATTATTTTGTTTCCAATAAAAAAATTAATAAAATACAAACATTTGAAAAAAACTTCAAACATAAAAATAATTTCAATAAACATTTTTGAACATAAGAAAACTAAAAAGGATATTAAAATAAAATCAACTAAATTATTGTTAAATAATCCAAATAAATACGCGAATTTCGTTCGATACTTCAGTTTAGTGGTAAGTTGACATGTATGCAATTTTGAAAAGTTTCAGGTATTTGCAAGACAATACATAATGTGATGAAAAATATGATTACTTTAAAATATGTATTAATGTATGTATGTAAATATGTACAAATGAATGCAATCCTTCCCTTTTCAGGCTTTTTTATATGTATAATAGCGAAATATTAAGTTAAATAGCGTTTTAAATGAAATTTTAAGAATAAAAGAGCATACAGAAAAAAAACTGAAAAAGGCGATTTAACTATCATTATTTTTGGAAATTATTATAGCGAAAACGATATCATAATTTTATGGAAAAACGATATCATAAGGAAAGGTACCATTTAGTACGTAAATACTATCGTTCTCGATACGAGAACGACTATCACTTATGATATTTTTTATCACCTAAGTGATATCGTTTCGATATCGTTATAATATCGTTTGGTTTATTGGGAATATAGAAAATTATAAATTTTAGCACATAAATTGCAATATCATAGTGATAATTACATGAATTTATTACAATTATACTCAGATATGTGGCATTTCATTCACAAACAAATTTAATACGTTTATTTGTTGAAAAATTTTCTATAAATTTAATATATTTTAAAAGAAAATTTAGACGTAACCAACACCTTGCTGTTACAAAATTCATAAACAGAAAATAAATGTGTACTTACGTCTTTTTTCTTTTTCTTGTAAAGTTGAAACCATTGGATCTATAGCTACGAAATTTTCAGAGATGATGCTAATAGACCTATATTATCGATTTCTATAAAAACACGAAAATCAAGTCGCTTACGTCTATTTTGCAAAAAGGGCTCGATATAGTCTACTCTATAGCTTAGTCTATGGTCTTTGCCTCCCTGTTTAGAGTTATGCATGTAACAAAAGCGGTTTGAGAGGGTTTTCTCCAATATTCTGCTTATTCCTATCTGATTTTTGTCTAGCCTATAGTCGACTCTATAGTGTAATATATAGTCCAGTCTATAGTCTGGGGTATAGTCTAGCATATAGTCTAATCTATAGTGTAGTATAAAGTCTAGTCTGTTCTATATCTATGGTCTAGTCTTGTAATCTTTTAATTTTTATACCCTACACCACTTTAGTGGGGAGGGTATATTGGATTTGTGCTGATGTTTGTAACATACAAAAATATTCGTCCTAGACCCACCTTAAAGTATACCAATCGGCTTAGAATCGTTTTCTGAGTCGATTAAGCTATGTCCGTCCGTCTGGCTGGCTGGCTGGCTGTCCATGTAAACCTTGTGCGCAAGGTACAGGTCGCAATTTTCAAGATAATTGGATGAAATTTGGCACGCAGGTTTTATTTGACCTAAAGACGAAGCCTATTGAAAATGTTTAAAATCGGTCCATTATTTCACCTAGCCCCCATACAACAGAACCCCCCGAAAAGGGCTTCTGAGCTCATAATTATGTTAAATATACAGATATATCGATAAAATACGGCACAACTAAGTTTTATAGAAGTCTTGATGACCCTGCCAAATTTCATAAAGATCGGGCCCCATTTGACCCTAGCTCCCATACAAAGTCCCCTTCAGAAAATTACTTGAATGTCCCAAATTAACTTATAAACACAAATATCGCGATGAAATTCAGCACAATATAAATATATTCACAAAATTTTATCGGGCTTGGTCGATATTTGCCCCTAGCCCCCATATAAAGCCTCTTTCAGAAAATTTTTTTTTTCATCCATAAATTGCTTAAATGTATCGGAACAAGGGAATATTGAAGATAAATGCGTTATTATGAAAAATAAATCACATTTAATATTCATAACTGGTGTAGGGTATCATATGGTCGTCCACGCCCGACTATAATTTCTTACTTGTTCAATATTAAATCCTAATTTAAATATAAAAATTTATAAATCAAAACTGACAAATTGGTTGTAAATTTTACGACTAAGCTTTTGAAAAATTTATTTCAAAATTGTTGTAATCAATGTGTAAAAAATCTTTAAAAACTTCATTAGAAAAAGTGTATAAATAAAATTAATAAATTTTTAACTAACAGACAGAT